CTTCTATAGGTGCTGCTCGAGCCAACATGTTCGGTCTGATAAAAGGATAGCATCCCACGCCCACAGAGGCCGACCCATAAGAGCAAAAAGCAATACATGATCCCATATCTACCACAAGGCCACTGAGTAACAGTCTAACTTCCAACGGCTAAGGCAGCAATCATCAAATGCAATTGATAGGGCCAAGATAGGGCTGACCACACTGTCGCATGTAAATCATAACTGCCAACGATGCTTTACACAAAAGAGCAAGGCACCATCCCGTTCTACCCATAGCAAATAAACATCCGCCATATCAGTAGTTGCTGCCATCAAGCGACCTTTTTGGGTTGGCGTCATCAGAGAGACACATCATGCACTGCAACAAGTAAATCCGGTCTTGATGAAAAGCATACGCGAGAAGCCAAGAGGACGCCCAAGGTATCCATACAAGTTCTTGAGGAAGGAGATCCGCCATGGCACCGATAAAAACATTGCTCTGAAGATCCACCGATAAAGAGACGACTTGCAGGTGTAGCTGATTTCCAAAACCATGGAAACGGTATCCTTGACAACCACAACTATAAGATAGAGATCACTTGCTTGCTTCTGAGACACCCACCCAAATTCAAATGTTGATCTTCGTCTTCCAATTCAATAGGATTCGCTATTGACAACTGTAAGGAGAGACTTTTGATGGCACGAAAGAGCATGCGAAATTATAGCTTGATGGAATGTTGGCCCTATAAAACTGCATATCACTGATTTATCTTTGGGGTAATGGTAGCAATACTTAGCCAGTGTCATATGAGAATCCACGATGTTTGATGCCACCCAGTAATCATAACACATTTCCTTGCTGTAGAGATGTCGACACAATGACCAATTCTGATAGCCGGTTCTCCAAGCGATACTTGATGATGAATGCCATGAGAGATGGATACACCTTGACAGCACCAAAAGGACACGTAACATTGTTGTTTGTTGCTGATGTGATACATCCATAAGATACGTGCGGTGAAGAGGGCTCTTGAAATCAAGTTGCCAATTACGAGAACCACCAGAGGATCAATTGACACTAAAGATGTGGGCTCTGTTGCTCATTGCTGCTTCTTGCTTGTAGCTGATATGATCCACCGGTAACAGGCATGCGTAGCAGGATATCCATTGAAAGGGTTGTCAACAACTAGGACCACATTAAGACGAGATAAAACTTGGCGACACCAAAAGGTATAGAACTTGTTGCCTTGCCGCTGCAGATGCTTATAAAAGGAAGTGTCCAATAGGTGGTACAGTAACGAAAACCATCGAACGATGTAATAAGGCAAGCTGACACTGAAGGATGCTGTAGACGATGCAGTTTCCCGAATCCATAGAACGATACTTAGCAATGATAGCTGCATCCATGAATATTCCAAAGGACCAGAATACAAGTAGCTTGCTGAATAGCACACATACTATAATAAAAGAGGGGGTTGGTTAGGATTGGAACTAAAAAACGGATCATCCCATATTTACCAATGATAGCCATACGCACGAAAACAGGTTGACATCAATGACAGCTGCATCCATGAAAACCCCAAATGACCATGAGACAAGTAGCTTGCTGAATAGTCCGCACACTATAGTAAAAGGGGATGTTGGTAGGCATTGTAGAAAAGAACGGATCATCATTTACCAATGATAGTCATATGCACGCAATCCTGATGATATCCAAATCC